ACATATACATATTACTTCCCATAAAGTATTTTTGAAAGCTTTTCTAATGATTTATTTTTAGTGAAAATAATACGTTGAGCAGAATAAAAATTTTAATCGGGTGCTATTTTATTAACACGAAAAGAACAATTTGTGGATTAATATAGTATTCGCAAAACGTAAAATCTTGCTCACGACTAACAGCCGTTAGAATTCAGTGACATGTTCAAACTCTAAATAACCCTGGATAACAACAATCCGGGTTCGTTCTTACTGATTTTAACATCCGGTGTAACCTTTCATCAGTGATTTAGAAGATGGTTAATATTAATTTAGGTTAATACAAAGAGCATCAAAGATGTTTAGGATGTACTGTATATGATGCACATTAGTAACTCCTTAGGAGTGTGGTAATCGCGTTATTACCTCATCTGGTGAACCTCTCGGACATAACTCTATGTGCTATCGAACTTTACTGAAAATCCATATAACATACGTCACATCTGTTTGCTCCATACGTTAACCAAGAACCTTAATCTAATTAAAGCTATTGGAACAAGTTTTATAATCAAATTCTAATACATGTAATACGGTTATTAAGAATTATTTATGTACGACAATTTCCAGAATTTGGTCACTATGCTTTTAATATAATTGATTTAAAATCCGAAACTACATTTAATTTCATTTAATTTTCGGACGTTTCGGAATCTACAAATTCAGTTATCAACGATTTCTAAGAGGGCACTTTAATAAGTATAATATTGTATAGGAACATGTGAAGTACGAGAAAGATATAAAAGCATAGAAATGAATAGTTTTTAATAGAAACGAGGTCTACGAAACAAAACATTTAAAGAAAAAAATACAGAATTATCTATAAAACATTAAGTATAATTAAGGTTTCAGTTTAGGTTTAGGTTCGGTTGAGATCGGTAAAATGAATAATGTATAATCCGGAAATTACAATATAAAAATTATTTACGTGTGTAGGTCTCTCTGTGTGTGTGGATAGAAAATATACATGCATTGAAGCGTTCCTGACTAGTTCTGTTTGATCTCTAATGTTTTGGACGTATTCTCTGGTCAACGTGTGGCCCTATACAGTCAACACAAGAATATGTCTACGATATCAGTGAAAATAAAGTACTATATTTGTCAATATCTGGACAAAATCTTAGCCTTAGGAATATTTGAATACCCCGGATATTTTTTTTGCGACATATAGCATAATACTTAATGAACGCTTAACATAGCTTGCTAATAATCTAATTATATTTTTATATTCGAAATTGTCAAGAAATCAATATGGTTATAGCGTCTGTTGGACTATTTCTACTGTTAGTCGTATACTTAATATATCTATTACAGGGACTGTATCGAGCTTGTTGTGTTTGACTGGTACAAAACTAAATTAAAACAAAACGGACGTGACCTCTCACCTTTCAGTCAACTCTGGTACGATTAAAAATGCAATAAAACGAGAAAAGAAGTAACCTTAGATATAATTCCCTGAAACCAGTGGTACGACTATAAGTACAAAACCACTAAATACAGACAAGCAGTAAAAAATTGGCGATAACACAGATTTCTGCCATCACTCAAAAACCAGAAAATGAAATACAAATATGCTGTCAACAGAAATGCTCTCACACTTTTCTGGCGTTATTGTTACCACTCAAAACAAAGAATACTGCAGAAAGAGACAAACAAAGTCTTTCTCTGACTAGTATTACGACTAAGAATGCAATAAATTGAGTTATAAAAAACTGTCAGAAACAAACGATAACACAGTTTTTTAGTACCACTTAAAGGTAGACAATATATGATAAAGAGAATCTGTTAAACAAAGCGACCTTACAGTTTCCAGCTACGATTGCTATGACTTAGCAGTAAAATTACTATCTTTAGATCTATTGATAAATAGAGTCGAAGTCACAGATTCCCGCTTCCACTGTTGCAACTAAAGATGTAGAAAGGTAAGACACTAACAAGCTGACGGAGGTAACATCTCAATTTCTGTCTCATATGTTGCGACTAAAGATATAGGCATATGTAAGATAGAGATAAACACTGACAGTGGCAACATTACAATCCTTGTCTCGAAAAGCTATGACTAACTAAAGAGGTATAAACGTGATATATAGACAAGCTGGTAGAGAAGAGCAACATTAAAGCTTCCTATCTCAAAAAAGGCAATTAAAGATGTAGGAATGTAAGATAAAGACAAGCTGACAGAAGGGATATTATAATCCCTGTCTCAAATAAGGCAATTAAAGATGTAGGAATGTAAGATAAAGACAAGCTGACAGAGGGGATATTATAATCCCTATCTCAAATAAGGTGACTGAAGAAGTAAGAATGTAAAATACAGACAATCTGACAGAGGCGACATTGCAACCCCCATTACAAGTAAGGCAACTGACAGAGGCGACATTACAATCCCTGTCTCAAATAAGGCAATTAAAGATGTAGGAATGTAAGATAAAGACAATCTGACAGAGGCGACATTACAATCCCTATCTCAAATAAAGTGACTGAAGATGTAGGAATGTAAAATACAGACAATCTGACAGACAGAGGCGACATTATAATCATCGTCTCCACTGTTACGACTAAAGATATGAACTGTAAGATACAGAAACCTGACAGGCAGGGGCGACATTATAATCATCGTCTCCACTTCTGCGACCTACGAGTGAGGAAGTGAAATAAGTACAAACTGTCAGGCAAAGAAGAAATCACGTCTCTCCCTATTGCCACCAGGGTCAAAGAATTTGAATACAAGTAATGATTCAATAACAGCTTCGTAGTACACAAGCATATTTTTTTTCTTTTTGTGAGGCCAATAAATACTAGTTGAGCACATTTTGTAGTGACATTTAGTGCAGACTTAACTTATCTACACTAGTCTCATTGTGCAGTTTTAAACGGTGACCTTCAAGTAGACTTACAGTTTTCACGTGAGAAACCAGAATAATATATGCATACATGATATTTTGCTCCAATAATATAACTAGTATAACGAAATATAGTAATGGACTTAAATACCCTTTGAATAATAACGATTGTGAGTTTAATTTCGAACGTAATAAATCGTATTTCTTTTACAGTAATCTCGAAACGTTTGCCTAGTTACTGTTATCACTTTATTAAAGGTTACAAGTCTCCTCCTTTGGTAAGTATTAAAATATCGTCTCCTTTGTGTTAACTAGGTTGTACTTAATTGGAAAAGCGTATCAATAAAAATGACTGGGGGATTTTAAATATGCGAAATTCCGAAAATCGTAGACATAAATAACGTTTGTGTCATCTGCAGCTTTCACTAAAGAATCTCGCTATCACTGCAATCTATTTCAACCAGAATTCCAGTCTTTAAGGTGAGCGTCCACGTGTTGAGAAAGACGATTTCACCTGAAGACCAGGATTAAGTAATCGACCATTACTATTCCGCTGACATTCGCCAATCTAAACTGTCATAATTGGCCAAGCCTGTCGCAGCTCGTAAAGTTCACTTGACAGCCAGGTTTAACTTGAGGTAGTCCACCTTACATGGTGGCCGAACCACTCCCAGATAAAAAAAGAAACTGGTTTTTTATGTGTGTGTTTTTTAGTCCAAGAATCATTTTCACGACATTTGTGACATAACAGCAACAGTCCAGCAGACGCATGATAAACGTTTGGGGTGTTTTAGGTACGTTACTAGCCTAAATCGTTAAGTTGGTTTCAAGCCAAACACCATAACACTGAAAAGCAGCCTAAAGTGTTAGATCTGTATCAGCTGTGATTTAGGTGAAGGGCGGTGTTAAACAAACTGCTAGTATTTTCTTCTAATCGACATTGTGGACTTTACAGAAATACTGAAATAGCATATAATGGTGAAATCTATAAACATGTCATAAAAACGTGAACTTTCTATTATTCTTATATTGCCATAAACATCGGCACCAATTTATGCCTTCTAAACCAAGAATTTTCTAACAAGAACACCAAATGCTATATTTATTCCGTGATTATAGAGAAGATTCATCCTAGATCGGCTTGTGGTCTAAGTATAAATACTGTTTTTATTTAATAGAATTAAAATATATCATCTACAATGACAAAGGATTCACACAGATCATGCCCATTACCCGTGAATAAGTGAAACAGTTCCTAAATCCATTATTTTGTAGAATCCCCACACCATACTTACGTCGATCCACGGTGTAGAGAAGACGACTTTTTATTTCAAGTCTAAATACGATCACAGTCTTGTATTGATTTCGCCAAGCCTTAGCCGTACTTCCTATCGGAGATGGTTGAATCTAAGAATTACTAGGTTCGATGGAGTTATTCCGTGGTTTTTAACACTTGCACACGCGCGTACGTATTAGCATTAAAAGAAACCACTCGATGAAGGATCAAGTTTCTACTTCACGACTAACTCTGGGTGTGAAACACATTAAGCATAAGTTAACTTACCTGCCCGGAACTTATTTACTTAAATGATTGTTTTTGTATAAGACTAAAACTGAGAGTCAGAGATCACTTTTTTTATAAATAAATAAAGTATACAAATAGCTAATCAAGTGTAAGTTTAAAAGATAAACACAGAAATATAGAAACAAGTGCGTATATATAAATTCACGTAACCAGCTATGACTATTTTAAACGATTTATCAAGAAATTTGATATATCAATATTATAAAAGATTGTAAAAATAAAGATGATGTTTTTAAGAAAACATGGAAATCAATTTGATTAAAAGATAAATACAACTGTTGCATGGACATATTTTTAAAGTTTAAACATAACATAATAATCTATAACAATGACGAAAGTGAGTTAGCATTTTTGGCCAAATTTAGAGTCTATTGGATGAAATGTTAACCAAATTTTCTCACAACGTTTTAAATAATTTTATATTATCTAATATCAGATTAAGGTGCGGCAATAAATGCAGATAAAAATAAATGGAGAAGTCAGGGAGATCGGAAAGTTAGGATGAAAAAAGAAAAAAAAAGGAAGATACAGTGGAATAAATATATAGGAGTATGAAGAGATGCAAAAACTAAGAAAATGAATGGACTGAATAGAAAAGAAATCAGGAAGATAATATATAGATTTAGAAGATGACGAAAGGAAAAATAAACAAAGAAATGTGCAGGTATATTGAAGAATCTGTAAAAGAAGAAGAATTCAGACGGTAATAAAAATATTTAGTAAATAATCAGATTGTAAAACAATTTAAATAATGGCACTGAATTTGACGGAAAATGTACTTAGAAATATAAGTAAAAATTAACATAATGAAAGTATTGTAGATACTTGTGTACTCTCTTTTTCTGAACAGAAAATTCTTTAAAAAAAATTAATTTCATATTGTAAATTTTGACTGAAAAATACAATTTGGTATCACGTGTATTTTATTACCTATACAGACTTATTTCATTAGCCGAGGCCAGGTGATTAGGGCGATCGACTCGCAATTTGAGGGTCGCGGGTTCGAATCCCCGTCACACTAAACATGCTCACTCTTTCAGCCATGATGACGTTATAATGTGACGGTCAATCTCACTATTCGTTGGTAAAAGAGTAGCCCAAGAGTTGGCGGTGGGTGGTAATGAATAGCTGCCTTCCTTCTAGTCTTACACTACTAAATTAGGGACGGCTAGCGCAGATAGCCCTTGTGTAGCTTTCAAATAAACATTAGCCGGAGTAGTGCCAATTTTACGTATTACCAGCAATATTTTCATGCAGCTAAATAGATAAGTCACTTTCTTTAGCAAGTCTTATTGTTATCCCGCTAATATCGCCACCATCAGTTTCATAGCGTAAGCCGTTAGCGCTGGTACTATGAAATTAACAGGATAAGTATTATATGTCTTTACGCTAATTGTTTGTTTCGGATAAGGGTTAGCTGCGCTAGCCGTCCCTAATTCTGATCTGAAAGACTAGAGGGAAGGAGATTGGCCAACAACACTCATCAACTCTTGAGCTGCTCGATCGAACAGTGGGATTTGACCATCTCTTTTAATAAAACACTCACAGCCCCAAAGTTCAAAGCGCGATTTTGCGGCAACGGGATGCGAACCAAGTGCTCTAGGAGTCACAATCCAGCACGGTAGCTACTAGACCACACCTGGCTCCCAAGTTACTGAAGTTTATCAATGGGTTGATATACATGACAATGTTTATGCTATTCCTCATTTGTTTGGATGAGTAAAAATAACATTAAACATTTCTCTGTGATTTGCCTACCTAAAAAGCTTATGAAACTAGCTTTTGCTTCTAACACTCGTTAGCTTCTGTTCAAAGAAGTTGAATCATGAGGAATTTAGGACTAATTCTTCTCACTGCGGCTGCGGAACTTTAATGTTTCTAAGCAACTAACATAAATTGTAATTAGCATTCTAAGAGTTTTGACGTAATATATCTGTTTCCTGCCATTCTGTATAAGAATATTATTTCACCTCATGCATGTATAACAACGTCGATATGGTGAAACTAAACATTTATTTTCCTTTGTTCCGTCTACGGTGAGGCGTGTTAAATCGACTATGGAAGCGTGCTAAATCCGTAAACTTGCGAAAAATAATTATAAAGAAAGTTATGTGACGTATCTTCTATTTTTTATTTTCGTATGTTAAATACATTTCACTGGCTTCTACCTTACGATAACAGGGTGCCTCTATATGGTCATAAACATTATTATCCTGGATCTTGGAAATGTTCTTAGCTCTATCTCTGCATGAGTTTCCTTTTTTCGATAGTATTTTTTCAATAAGAATATCACTATTTTTCCTTAACCCGTCCGACCCATAGACAGTTCTAGCAAACACATTAAGGAATGGCTCATGGGATTCCTCGCCTAGGATGGCTGGCGAGACGAACTCATAGTGGGGGGTGTAACGTATGTATCTAGGGAATGCGCCTCCTGGTGTGTTATTTATTAATTAACCCTGACAAAAACTATGTTATGACGGCAAGGGGCATCCGTTTGAAAGCGGACCGGTTGAAAAGCATGTGGGGGGAAACAAGGGGGGACTTGCAGTAAACGAGGTGATATTCGTGATAAATAAATGACATCTAGGTTTTAATAAACATTGTAGTTTGTAGTTAAACTTTTACCAGGAATCATTTTGATCTTCTTGAAGATGAAGTAAATTTTATCTAGTAAAATTGCCTTTGTTTCAATAATTCAGGTTTTTAGTTTTCAAATTAACTGTAAAAAAAAACATTTCACTAACCATAAATAAGAGGATTGTATTAACAGCAGTAATATTTTCTTTCGTTGCTAAGAAAAAGCGCGAAAAAGTACGAAGATGAAAACAGTGTTTTCAAAAAACATCTGTAAAACAATTCGGTAAACTTGTTATCTAATGAATGAAGAAAGGAACCACGTGGCACATTAAAATATAGAACTAAAGATTGGTCAGTTTCGTATTGAAGCCCAGAATGCAATTTATATATATTGATATATCCAAATATTTGGTTAATTAAGTATTAATTTATTTATTTTGAGTAGGAATTCCTGCACAGTTGAATATGAAATGGTTTTTACTTGTTTGTTGTTAAGCGCAAAGCCACAGAATGGGCTATCTGTGCTATGCTCAACACGGGAATCGAAACCCGATTTTATCGTTAGAAGCTTTCAGACTTACCACTGAGTCACTGGAGTGGGGGTGGGGGGCAACGTCAGATGAAAGTGTAAATACAACACGAGTGACTAGAAGGCCCTAACATTTATAAAATACGTGGAGAAAAGCATGTTATTTACTCTATCTATAAACGTGTTTTATTTAAAAGTTGAAAAAGAGTCCGAAAATATGATTCGTTAACTGCAGTTAAACTTTCCATTGCTGAGGATCGCTTTGGGTTTTTCAGAGCAATATCTGTATGCGATCTGCCAGTTTCGTATTTCTCAGACCGAAATGTGTTACAAATAGTTCATCGTTACACTGAGCGCTGAGTGCTACCTTCATAGCTCAATTAATTCCAATAACAAAGTCACAGCTGCAGCTTCTATAAGATATCCATCTTAGCATAAACAAGGTTAAACGTTATCATAACTACTCTCTATATCTCAGGATTTACCAATCACGTTCTTATTATTTTGTTGACAGGTGATTATTTTTTACACAATGTCTCTAGTCACCGTGTTAATGTTTGTAACAGTTTTACAGAAAAATTCTAAAGAAACCTTTTTTTACCATGATGTGTATCACTTGAATGTCGAAGCTGCAGGAAATGTTACCCTTCATCCTAAATATGTTACTCTATTCAATGTATAATATAGATCAATCTGTCATATTTCTCCTGAAAACGAGACCTTAAGCACTTCCGTATTGCTATATGTTTCTGTTTCTATATTCTAGTCTCAAGAATATGAGCTTAAAATAACAAGTTTATTTTCTGTTTCGTTTGAAGTCTCCTCCTAAATGCAGCGAGAACAAGATTATTGAAAACTGTATATTATTAACAGTTATTTATATCTGTAAGAATGTATTTCGTTAATTATAACGTATCGACTTTTCCATCCTTCCCCGTTTTTGTTTTGTTTTTGTAACGTCTGCTGCTGGTTAATGAAAAGAAATAGGCCGTTAATATTGTAAGTTTATGTATCTATAATTATAAAATACGCGTAATTCATTTAGCTTATACATAACAAGTTTATATAATTAAGTGTTTATTTTTCTGTACTTACAAGTAACAATGCTGCAAACATACAGTTTTATCAGTGCTAACTTTGAGGCATTTCAGTGAATATCTGAGAACTGATGGCTGTCGAAAGCTCACAGAAATGTTACACGTAGTATCTATCATTCATATTGTTGTTAGTTGGGTCTCAGAGAGTTTATAAGTCTAAGCGATCACTACAGGACTATGACACCAAATCTGATCAAAGAATAAAATGACACGGGTACTAATTTCAACAAAATAAGTTTATTTTTATCGTAACTCCGGCCTGGCATGGCCTGGTGGTTAGGGCACTTGACTCGCAATCTGAAGATCGCAGGTTCGAATCACGTCCCTGAACATGCTCGCCTTTTCAGGCATGGGGGCGTTATAATGTGATGGTCCCTTTAATCTATCACTTCAAAATTAGGGACAGCTAGCGCAAACAACCTTTGAGTAGCTTTGCTCGAAATTCAAAAACAAACATAACTCCACAACCACTACAACTGCAAGGCAGAAACAAGTTAGTTTGGAAGTTTAATGTGGTGTTCTTTGTACGAGATGTAAGGTAAAAGTCACTATTTCAGCACTTATTGAGCTCGTTAAAAAATCATAACAGTAGCATACCATCTTCTGGATTTAATGTAAGTTTTTTTGAATAAATGAGAACTGAGATCGAGCGAGGTTAGAACTTACATCCACGGGGAGATGTTCTATCCAACCAATCTACTAGGACTCCAATGACGTAACATTTGATCTTTTCTTCATTGATTTATTATGTTCTAAACTGATTACAACACCTGCTTGGCAGGCAAGGATGCGGGCCGGAATCTTGGTCTGTTAAACTATCATCTCTGCATTTCGATACTTTCAAACATACTTAAAATGTCAAAATATATTTTATTAAAAACAACAACAACAGAAAAGGCATTTATATTTTGCTTACGAAATACTTAATCACACTGGTTTTCGTTACTGATGGTGCCGTTGATGGCGCATGGAAATTAATACATTTTAATTTAAGGTTTGTAAATAAGAAGAAAAAAAAACTCGCTGTAATCTTAGCATAAGTTCTTACATTTCGTTTCAGGAAGATGATTAAGTATATTCAACTTACTCCAATGTTGCTGCTAAATTAAACACACTATCTTTAATTTGGTTTCCTTTTCAATAAACAGTGCTTGTATCGAGGAATTTATGTTAAAGGTGAATGCTTTTAATCTACAAAAAGTTCACGCTTCGAGATGCTAATATTCTAACATACTAATGCTTTCACGCTCTGGGATTAACAATTCTCATATTGGAGTCACTCAGGCAAAATAGAATAACTCACAAAAGTATGAGAGTCGGTACGGAGAACGTCAGGTTCTCGGCTTCACGTGTTATATGCCGCACACACGATTTCACCCAATAAAAAGCCCATGCATATTAGATTTACCCGACAGTAAGATTAGTATTTGAATAAGTAATACAGCATGCTAGAGCAACTACATTTCTTGGTTGTCGCCCCGCGATGTGTATTGTATA